AAGTGGTGACTTTGACAAAATGAACAGCTGTCGGTCGCACACTAGTGACAGGCTCCCAGAAGTCTGTCGGTATAAGGCAACACTGAGTTCCTCCAGTTGCGCAGTTGGATTTGATGCAATTTTTCAGCCAGTTTGTTACAGCAACGTGTATGCCAGAAAAAAAGCGTGTCTATGAAACAAATGAACCGGTAAAGTGAATTACGCATACAATATGAGTGTGGGACTGTAACTTACCAATCTCAGACTTTTTTCCAATCTTCCAATGAGAACTTCCTTTTCTCTCAGCTGTATTTGCAGTGACTTTATCCGCTTCGCCTTGGTCTCATCCGAACCGCCGTGGGTTGAGTCCAGCTGTCGCTTGAATTCTTCAAGTAGTCTGGTGGATCGTTCCACTTCCTTCGTTGCATCTGCTAGCTGTTCTTTCAAAATATTGACCTGTGTAAAGGTATTAAGAGAGAGCAACATGAACATCTATTCAGGCAATTACAGTATAAAACAGAGCGTCAGCAAAGTTGAATAGTCAACTCACCATATGCTAGTTGTTCCCCGCAGGTTATCGGTTCCAATCTCTCTCTCACGCGATATATATATATATATATATATATATATATATATGTATATATATATGTATATATATATATGTATATACATATATATATATATATATATATATACAATCCACACGAACTGCTTTCACTCACTTCGATAGTGAGGACAAAAACGGAGGGAAACAGGATTCGTTACATCGCAGAAATGCTTTGCTATTATGCTACTACTGACGTAAAGTAAGAAAACCAAGGAGCTGAAATACACAGCTGTGAAAGTCAACCAATGCAAACGAACACTGACTTGAGCAAATCAATAAAAGGAGCCGGAGTAAGTGTCAACCAGTTGCAGCCACATAAAGATGGCATTAACGTAGTCAAAAACTTGTAGGCTGGCTCCAGGAACGACGACCCATACTTGCCACGGATGACACCAAAGTGTATCAGCAGAAAAAGTGTCAAGGATTGGGAACAATAAAGCGAAAATTGACGGTTAGGAACTGTACACAAAACGTACACACACAGATGCACAAACTGTACTTAAACCTAGTGTTCATCTGACAGCAACGCAGTACTGTTAAGGTCTGCAAAGGTTTTTTATCTATCTCATATGATAGAAAAATTAGAAGAGATATTTATAGAAGAGATAGTGGCGGCATCCCAAGGGGCATCTCTGTATGCAGCCCATCGGACTGCGACCGTACCGATGATATAATGTCATATTTCTGGTTCACCTCTATCAAGCGTTTGGCGTATAGTAGGTCATCTGATACATCAGATCTGGCTTGACGTCAAGATCGTACGAGAATGTCAGTTGTGAACACGGTTGATGATAGGATTGACTGACGCTTTGGCTTTACTACACCTATTTTGCTGGTACCCGGTTTCCGTCCTTTGGTCAAATGCGAAGTAGGAAAGTTTCGTGAAACGTTACGCGCCTCGTCTTCCTGGTCTGTTACCTTTGGTGCGTAACGGGATATCTGCGCAACCACCGGTGTGTTTTTGTACGCAACCCAGTTTGGCCTTCAGTCTTAGTTATAAAAAGTTTGCTCGCTTATCCAGCAGCCTTAGCCTTTTCTCCAGATTATAAACCACCCTTTTCTTTCGCTGCTTGATGAGTTACCAGGGCCGCAGTTGTTTTTCAACCAACCGGAGTTGAGGTTTTATTCGTTTGTACAACCTTCTACCATGAGTAACTAGTACCGTAACTGATACGCATCATTATTGACCCAACAATAGTCCTCGGCGTGATGTGGAAACCGTTGGTTCAAATGTTATCTCCGTGCTTTTCCCTATTTATCCAAATTTTTCATTTCTACTCATGCAATTTTCGTACATCTACAGCCTACAAATTGAAGTACTGAAATGCCACTCCTCCGGAGACATGAAGCCCATCTTGACTTCCTCCTTGGTCAGATATTTTTTCACTTCGTTGAATGCTTTCGGTTTCGTCCCCTTTTCTGTCTCCGCAAATTTATGGTCTTCCCTACGCATCGAAGTGATTTTATTGACTGTGTCTGCGGATCTGGTGGGAGCTAAAGATGAACGCAGCAAAATTAGCCCGATGTCAGCGTACATTTATTGCACGCATGTGGCGACTCCGGTCTCCGATCATTTCCTAGGTATGATCATGCTTGTCAGGTAAAGAGAATTATTTCCGTCACTGGAAGTTTTTCTGTTTTTCCTCAGAAAAGCTTGCAGGTTGAGTTTGACCCGTTTTCAGTACATGGAATTAAACCAGTGTCCCTCAACAGACCTGAGGAATCCCCATAATCAAGTGACAGTCAATTTGCGTGTCGCCAGCAGAATGGCGAAGTCAAACTGCTCCAGTGGATGTGCCTCTTTAGTCAAAGTCATCTGAAACGCCAGTCACCGACAGAGGCATTCGGCAGCATTTGGAGTTGCGCGTCTTCATTAAACCCTAGTTTATCATAGCTAAAACCAAGGATATGTTGATGAGCTCTCAATGTAGAGGTCAGCAGACGGATATTCAGTGACGGATTTTCTGCTTCCCATTTACTTTGGCTTACTTCTACATTCCGGGTGGTCCTAGGTGCAAATTTGAAGTACCTGGTCAAAAGTAATTTGCATATTCTGTTGGAAAGGATGGTCAACCGCAGATAAGCTTTAACTTGTTTGTGTCGAATTCGAGAAGTTGCGCAAACTATGTTAGGAATTCTGGTATCCCAGTAGTTCGACTGAAGAACAGCGGAAGCTAATTACGCACAGTAGTAAAAATATCCCATTGCTAGATGAAAACGCAATGTTATCAGGCGAACATAAGTTTTCACTAATTCTTCCTCAGACAAGTACAATTATTTGCAAAAAACAACCAAAAGATAGACACCTTCCCAGCAGTCGAATTTGCAGATTCACTTCACCAGTAGCCCGATAATAAAAACTGACCCAAAAGACAAATTGCCTGTCCACCTGTTCCTATGCTTCAGGGTATATTGGCCGTACCACGAGGCGCCTGTCTGACAGGGTAAGAGAACCCATCGCAATGAGACTTGACCTTACCGTGGTGCGTTGGTTTGCGTGCCTCAGATCCATTGAGCTATGCTGGGTAGTGCTTTTTTGCACCTTCAGAGCCAATCATACCAGATTGGTCAATGGTTAGAGGCCAGACAAACTTAGCCTGCTGGTCCTCCAGCTTGGAGGTTGTAATGAGGGTGGCTCTGGGCTCCGTAGTCCAGTGCCAAAGGTAAGGTTTTTGAACCAAAGGCTTTGGTTGAGAACCCTAATCGTTCTCCTGTCTAGGCCTGGGCAACCTGACAGTATTCTGCCCACACAATACAACGAACTTTTCGCCTAACAATTTCTTGATACTCTGGCCGTCGCCGAGGATACTAAACGGCGTCCTATCTGCTGTATCGAGCAGGGTGGATAGGCCTATAGATGCTACTGCTCAGGCCTTCCCGTCTTCTTATCCCCCTTCTTGCGCTTCTTTATCCTTATCGTCCCGTTCTAGCTTCACTTTTATCCCCCCTGTTTTCAACACCTAATTCCTGGCCCTCCCCCAGCTTACTTCAATAGTCGCTTGTCTTCTAGTCTCAAATCACACACAGTCGCAAGGCATCGCTACAGTCCACTCGACAAGTCCATGTTCAACCAAGCGGGCGACGTCAGTTCATTCGTTTCCTTTTGGAGTCCTCGCGTCTCGCTAAGAGTGACATGCCTCAACATGCGCACTTTGCTACAGATTGGCCAACAGGCAACACTTGCCCGCACATTAGAGACCCTATCGATCGATATTTGCTGTTTATCAGAAACCCGCCTGCAAGATTCGAGCTCCGTGGTTACCCTGCGATCCCCCACATGCGACACTGGCGGCACATTCTCATTGCGCCTGTCTGGCAATGATGCAGCTTCAAATGCCGGTCAAGCTGGCGTCGGCATTGTTTTGAGTCCCCGGGCTGGAGCTGCCCAGATTGATTGGATCCCAGTAAACAGTAGGATGTCTGCCGTTAGATTATCTGGTTCGTTCCGTGCTACGAAGTCGCGCAGGGACAAACGGTGCCTGTTTGTCATTGCGGCTTACGCCCCTACAAACTGTAGCACGGATTCGGTAAAAGATGATTTCTATCAGCAACTTCACGAGCTCCTTCGTTACAGAAGAAGCACGGATACTGTGGTGTTGGCTGGCCATCTAAAAACCCAAGTCGGAAAACTGTCCTCTGATGAGCTTCATCTGGGCGGCCAACATGGTGTAGGCTCGCGTAATGACAATGGTGAGCGATTGCTACAGCTGTGTGAAGCTGCTCGGCTCTTCTCGCGAGCACTAACTTTCGACACAGCACCACAGAAGCGTGGCTTGGCGGCCACCAGCCTCGGGCCAGCTATGGACGCAAATCGATCATATCGCGATCAGTTACCGCTGGGGAGGCTGTGTCCAAAATTGTCGCTCGATTTGGAGCACGAGCGGGGCTTCTGACCACGCACTTGTCTGTGCCGACCTCCTGGTGCGTTTCGGTGGACGTCCGCAACGTCGATGTGAACGGATTGACACCAGCCAGCTGGCGAAGCCAGATGTTCTGAATGTGTACCAAAGTGCGCTGACATCTGAGCTGAGTAAGCGCCCACTGCACACCGTCGAAGTTCACTGGTCGCATATTCGTCAAACGTTGCTGTTAGCAGGCATGTCTTCGTGTGGCAAAGCAAATTGCCAAACCGGACATTGGGTCTCTACACAGTCTCTGGAACTCATGGATGCTCGCCGACGTATTCCGGCTGGAAGCGAATACAATGCGACTCGCAAAAATCTCAGGGCAAAACTACGTGCTAGCCTGAAGAAAGACCGCGAAACCTGATGGTCTCATCGTGCCTCTGGGATGGAAACAGCCGCTGCCGTTGGTAATCATCGTAAGTTATTCCGTCTGATACAGGAAAAAGGCAGCAGCAGACCTAGTGTTAGCGAGACCATACGCGACGAGAGTGGACAGCCGATCCACAGCCTGACAAAACGCTTGGAGCGTTGGGCTGAACACTTCGCAAGGTGATTTAACCCACCTGAGTTATTGGTTTCTTTTTCCGGCATTGAGCGCCCTTCTCCCTAGGCCGCCTCCTTGGATCCGCCCTCACGCGCAGAAGTCAAACGTGAGATCAGGCCGTTGAAATTACCTAAGGTCGCAGGGGCAGATAGAAGTACCCCAGCCCTCTTCAAATTCGGAGGACCTGCTCTAGTAGATGATTTACACGAGTTGCTAGTAAAACTTTGGGAGCAAGAGACTGTCCCGACAGACTAGAAGCGCTCCGTCGTTGTCCCAATTTTCAAAGGAAGCTCCTGTTTGGAATGCGGCAATCATAGAGGGATCAGTCTGGTTTCGATTGCCTCTAAATTGCTTGCCTCTGTCATTCTCCACAGACTGACTGGTACTCGTGGAAACCAGA